TGAAAAAGACATTATACAAAAATAATTTCCAAGTATTGAGTTGCTTAGAATATTTTTAAAGTAAAAATGAACACATTTGGCAATATCTAAGAAAATCAGTTTCAGAATCATAACACTACAAATCACATAATGCTCAAAAAGTTATACTTGCTTGGATAGAAAAAAAACTTAAAATTCGTCCTTAAAATATTAAATGAAAATGAAAAAAATGTACATAGTGATTTTACGTGCTTATTCAAATTATAGATATATAAATTAATTGCAAATGTCTAGGTAAATTTACTGTGTTTTTTGAAATGTTGATGTTGCGTCTTAAATGCACGTCACCATAAACGTCTTAAATCATTTTCTTTAAAGTAACAAAATGGGTTTCATGAATATATTCGATGCCATTGTTATAAAATTCGTAAGACATTCATTTCGTAAACTTCAAGTTCATTTAATAAAACTTCATTCATATAAAGAGTGCAATAAGTTATATTTTCAAGTATTATTTATTCAGAACTTATCAATTGCTGTGGATTATGTACAGTATTTGCTATTTTCTAAGTTACATTTTAACACCTCGTTGTTAAGGGGACACAGTGCGATTCAAATGACAAAAATCGGTCAAAAAATTTAATTTTTTTAGCTTAAATTATTCTTCACATACCTTTCTATAACCTGACAAAATTTAAAAGCTCTAAACTTAAAAAGCAAAGAATTATGATAGATGTTATGTTCGTTTTTATTCACATCCCTATGGCATATCAAAACTTTAAACTTACTTATCTCGGAGAAAAAACTAGTATGTCTTCATTTAAAATGCTACGGCTTTTTTTCCTGTATTCTGCCTAATGCTTTGAAATTTTTTTACCTATTGCTAATAGTACATGTAACAAAAGCTGGTATGCATTTTTGAATCAATGCAATTTTATTTAAAAATAATTGAACTCAGAATTTGTATATTTTTTAAGGAATTTTCAATAGGCATTCATAAAAAGAAGTATTGTACGAATGCCAATCATGTTATCGCAAAACCCATACCAATTTTTCTTATACATAGTCTTACGTACTTGTAAATCAAATTTCATTCGTGTATGTAAACTTTTGTAGGAGGAGTAGCATTTTAAATCACTTCACAAATTTTAAGTTTTTTCTTTAAAAAATTAAATGGCTAGCTTTTTATGAAATTTTGAGCTTAAAATCTGTTTTAAATAGTATACACACATAGGAGGCAACTAAAAAAATTTTGAAAGCCCTTAAATTAAGAATTGTTGTGTAAATCGTACCATGTCCCCTTAATAAAAACGCAGATTATAATTGTTCAAGTAGAGTCGTAGATCATTTGGGTTTTACTTGCAACTTTTTCTTTGTCCACACTTAAGAAATATTTGAATGCTTTCAGAAACATTTGTTTGAACTTTTTATTTGAAATTTAACAAATTCTACTCCAAATTTGTTCAACAAAGACTTTCCAATGTAAAAACAATATTATTTATTTTATTCTCTGATTTATTTAATAAGTTTTTCTAATTCATAGATTGCCCAAGATTTGAAAATCCTATAATCATTCATATAAAACAAAAAAGTTTTGACACTCCTATTTGACACCTAATCCATATAAAAGAAAATCTGAAGAAGTGAAAGAAAATAATGACAAAAAAAGGAAGGACTCATTAAGATAAAAAAGGGAAAAGAATGTCATTCCGTAGATTTCTTCGAACTTCCTAAATTCCAAGTGATCCTGCGGTGATTAAGTGAAAGCTCTTATTCAAGCTCATTCTTCACAATCCTCTCGGAAGTGGATTAACTTTGTATCCAAACCAGCAAAGAATAAATTATTCGATAGTTCAAACAATGATAAAATAGAATTTCGTTGTAATGGTATAGTAAAAATGTTGTCTTTTCCCTGGTGATTTGTTTATTTTTAACACACCATATTGAATTAATTTAACGTTACAAAAATACATTGCAGCCAGACCAGAAGGTATTTAAAAAGTACAAAGATTTTAGTTAAGATATAAGCAAAATTTATCAAAAATGTAGTCCTTTTTCATGCACAATAATTTTTTAAGCACAATTTAGCATAAACTCTTACGAAATTTAAAATTTTTCACACTTTTTCATTTTATTGTCTATAATCTTTTAGTTTTGGATTGTAATTGTGAAAATAATTTATTTCAAAATCATCGTTACTATACATATGTGATGCTTTCTGGTATTCTGCTATCATCTTAAAATATTTTTATAGGACTTTTGAGAGAACCATAAGAGATTAACCTCTTTTTTGAACCAAGCAAACATTTCTTAGCTGAATCAAATTTACCAAAAATATTTTGATTACATAATTACTTTTTAAATATCTTCTTAAAAATAATTACAAACTTGTTCTTATTTCCCATTTATATTCCATTAAAGCATTGTTTACAACAGATATAACCAGTTTTACATGTAAAATAATTATTCGAGAACTTTATTGCACTCACTTTAATTAAAATGTTGTCTTTTTTTAAAAAAGAAAAACTTTCTCTTTCTCCAGTCATTAGTAAACTAATATAAAAGGTATATATATATATATATATATATATATTGATTTTTATTTGATTCGTCATGAGATTATTTATGTATTTATTAAAGGTATTTCTTTGTATAACAATGATAATCAGATCAAGTATTATCTTTTTTATTGAGTCTTTGTTCTAACATAACAGATTTGTCTCCATCAGATATAGGGTCCGTCACCAATAGCTCTCGTTTTATTTTAGAATGTGTCATGAATTCAATTGAAATCAAATAAATCCAATACATTTATTGTAAAACTTCTCGTTTAACATCATTTTAAATTAAAAAGTATTATTATTTTTATTTAATTTGGTACTCAAAAATTTTACAAATGTTGTAATTTTTAGTGTTAATATATGAGATTCTAACATCTGAAAACATAAATTTATTAGAAGAGTACTAATAATAATCGTATCAATAATTTATGAAACAGAAATTATAGTTGTTTGATATATTAATAATGATGCCAAGAAGTCCCACTAAAAGTAGCAATTTTTAAGTATTTTTTAAGATAACCAAAAACACAATTTTATTATATACATGATCAATCAAAATATTATTCGTATGGTTTATTTCGATTTGTTAGAAATATTTCTTTTTAGAAGCGTACATAGAATAAGAAGATAATAAAATTAGAATTATTTGTGTATGAGAAATATTATCTAAGAAACACATAATAAGTAAAAGTAATGTGGATTATAGTAATATTGTCAGGTTAATTTGAAACGTAATATTATTTAACACCTTAACGTGGCGCGGTAGCCTAGTGGTTAAGGTAACGAACTCGTGGTCGGCGTGTCATGAGTTCGAGCACAGTACCGCTGAAGACCTGCCATGTGGGGAGCGATGCACGTAAATCTGTCGAGAGCTCAAACATCCTCCCGTTGGTGTGGTTTCGTAGTTAGGAGAATGGGGTTCAAGCTCAGGTGTCATCCTCGTCACTTGACCATGGTTCAAAATTACGAGGTCCGTCACCAAAAGCCCTCAAGTAGCTTGTGACGGATCTATACGCTTCCTTCCATTAACCCTCTTGGGAAATATTTGGGCTATGAATATCAACAACCCTTTCTGAAGAAGAAACCGTGATATGCAGATTAGGTCTATTATACATAGTATAAGTTTGTTTGCTAGTGAGAGAGATAGATAGATAGAGGAGAACTGATGTTTAATTGAAGTTGCCAGGAGATTGAAATATTAAGAAGTACAAGACAGGGAGAATATCTACAGATCAGGTATAGGTCATATTGATAGTGCTTTTTGGGCTTTAAATTGTTAAAGAGATTTAAGTGACAATTAGTCACACAGCTACAGTGTAAATCATTTATTAAAGTAAAAGATTGATTCATAAAAGGTGGATCAATTGATTAGAAGTATTCTCCTAACTCGCGACTCTCGTTGCAAAACCCCTGTTCTTTTCTGTGAAACATCACAACCTAATTGGCTGTTTGAATTTAGTCTGTGTTAATCAGTCTGTTAAATTAATAATTAAAAAGTATCATGTCGAGTCGTCCTCCACTTCCTCCCATACCTTTAGCCGGGTCCGAGAGTAGACAGGGAGGGTTACAAGCTGAACAGTGCGTCGTTAATATTCCCCCTTACTCAACCCCTTAACTGGTTTGCCCGTACATAGTAAGGGCTACCGAAAGACGGCCACAACCAGTTTGTCTGTACATTGTGTGGGCACTGCTATTTTCTTTTTTCTGTTTTTGTTTTGCACATATTTTTAATTCTTATAATGTGACTATTGGCGCTAATGTTTTTTAGAGATGTAGTTTGTCCATGGTAAGGAGATACTTTTCATGCGGGGATTTTCTTTATGGTAAATGCGGAAATTTTTCATTAAAGGAATGAATTTAAATTCTTGAAAATATTCCATGAAGAACAGGGATTGGAAAGGCAATATGCAATTTGCTGGTTGAGAAGAAATGTAAATGGAAAGAAAAATGCAAAGAAGCCGATATTATCTCTGTCCCCATTGTAATGTAAGGTTTAGTATTATACCATGCTTCAAATTGTGTGGTCATATATATATGCACACACACACAAAATTCTCAACCAGTTGAAAAAATGTACGAATATGAAATATTTTTGTAAGTATAAGAGAAATTCAACATGAACGAAACATTATTGATAGCATGCAAAGTGTACTTATAACAAGTAATGTAAAAAAAAAGATGTTTAAGTCAATTCCTACTTAGGTCAACAAAGAAAAAATTTATTTTAGTTACTTTTTATTAAATAGTTACAATTAATATAAATATGTAATTACATATGACACAAAATCACAATATTTAGTGAAAAAATAAAAAAAAACGATTTTCCTTGTTATTTTACATTCTCCTTTTTATATATGATGTTAGACTATTCATTGTTTGTTACTATTTATTCATTAATTAAATTTAATTGTTCTAATAAAATAGTATAGTAAAAAAATAACTTTCTCGCCGAAAAAAGGCCATCCCAGATAGGACTCGAACCCATGACCTTCGGATTAGCAGTCCAACGTGCTATCCAATTCTCTACAGGGATGCAACGAAGGCTTTTCATTTCTATATATGCTGTTGGCCTATTATTTTCGCGTTTGTTACTATTTATTCATTTTTTAATTTAATGAATGAAATTAAAATTTGAAAAAACTGTATTAACGTCAATAAATATGTCGTGGTTTTTTGAGTGAACTTCAAGACATTTTAATTTAACCATCTTTATTCCATGAGATCATTTTGTAATCTGTCTGTAAGAGAGAGAGAGACGGACACGGTGTTAACCATGTGAATAGGCGGCCCTTTTTGAAGCCATATGCTCTTCAAGTACGCTTCCGATTGAAGAGATATACTTGAGAATTTAAGTATGACACATTAGTCAATAAAAATTAATGGTCGGAGCCGGCAAACTTCTGTTAAGGCATGTGTTCTATATTTCCGAACTGGGTAATAAATTTAATACTTGAAGATGTAACGGGAAGATAAAAGTTAGAAGTGGACTAGTGATTTAGTTTTAGATCTAATTTAATTATCCTTACATTCCCCCCCCCCCAATTTTAAAATTGGAGTAAAGGTGGTCTTTCTCTCTTACAAACATAGTAAATTTTCAATACATACAAAACAGTACATAATATAATATAGAAATACATTTTACACATAGTAAATAGAATTAAGTAACACGAATAATAAAATCAAAATACAATACAATAATCGAAATTATAGTAATAAACAAAATAATAACACTTTTAAAATATTAATTGATAAAATGAAATTCCTTACACACATAAATGTACATTAGAGTTTTCAAATCTATATTGCATCCAGAAAAAGAGCTTAACGTTTCCTCCAAATCTTTCATATTATTAGATTTGTGTTATTGCTAGCACATAGTCTACCTATGTGTAGTATATGTGTGGAAATTTGTCATATTAAACAATAATATAATTTAAAAAATACATGATATACATGTATTAAGATACTAATTTTCTATTAAAATATACTCAGAAGCCTTCGTAATACTACTTAATGTTGTTACATAAAAATATGCATAGCTGAAATACACTGTTAAAATATCAAAGCACAGACATGAATAAAATGATATGATTAATAATATGAGAACAGTTTATATAACACTTATACCCTATTCAACGCACCAGACCATATTCCTTTTACATGCATTATGAGAATAAAGAATATAAGAGTATAAGAATATATAAGAGCTCTTTTATTTATCTCGATTCGAAAAGGGGAATCATCTCTAGAAAGAAATCTATCATTATTATAATAATTATTTTCAACAACACGTACAAATTAGTATAGTAAATTTTTCACCATATTCACTTTTACTTCAAATCATCACATAAAACATTTTGAATCTCTCTGTAACTTTTGCAACTTATTCATTTCATAGACAAATTTTTCTCCTTCGCATTTCATATTCAGTAATATAATTTACACCATACCAATACCAACACATCTCTCTGACAAATCTGCGTGATCAAATCACAGATGTTCAGGGATGCTATTATGAAAACAATAAGAGGTATACAAATCAAACTAAATAAGTTTGTCCTCTTAATGTTTCAAAAGACATATACAAAATCATAATGATTGTATTCTCTTCGACCCACTGTATCATTTCCAAAATCAAGTTGTTAAATTACTTTAATTTTAGACAAGGAAAATTTCGAGAAACAGTGAATCCTGTTATGTGGCCAGTATATCAAAACACACAATTTCAATATGAGAAAAATTTTAATTTAAATTTAAATTTAGTAAAGTTCTGATGAATAAAATAATTAACAAAATAATAAAATTCAGTGGATAAAAAGAATGCAATGTGACTTTAATTTTAATTTTCCTCATAATCAGTTTCCTTAATATTAGTACATTAGAGTCATTTCTCTAATAACTAACGTTATGTCTTTCAACTATATAACGTATATATAGATATATATAGGGAAAGAGTTAACTAATAGTTAGAATTGAAAAAGGAAACATTAAGCGGTGTTTTTGTGTTCCTTAATTATAAAATAAAAAATTGTGTAAAAACTTTAAAATTGGAAATTAAAATAAAATTCGTCCATTTTCGCATTATTTTAAGTAATATGCTTACTTATACGCAATTAAAAAATATGACTTTTTTTAAAACATTTTGTGCAAACAAATTGACCGCTTTAGTGGTTAATATGACTTTAAAACCTTTCATATCAGTTTAAAGATACGTATTCCACCACGCATTATTTAAAGCTCTAAACAAAGACATTAAAGACAGTTAATAGCAAGGTAATAAAAAATACATGTGTAACGTATGCTTATTCCTTCTGAATATAAAATTTTATTACATCTGCGTGATTCCTACCTTAGTGGATTTATTTAAATGAAAAATGAAATCATGTATACTTATGACCTCTTAAGTCGATAGAAGGATGGCGACATTTTATCGCAATGCACACAAAGGTTATAAGATCACCGGCAATTTGGAGTGTTACTTCCCATCCAATGGATCGAATCCAGTAGTTACAGCATTACAAGAGCAATAACCAAGCCAAGAAGAAATCTCATATTTCTTGCAAGCGCAGTGGTAAATCTCGTGGACAAGCACAAAAGCTAAAGAAGAAATAAAGATAATATTCTTCTTAGAGCTGGTACTACACTTGTGTAATGGGCACTTGAATGTCATGAAACATGAATCATGAGATCTCTTGACTTTGCTGCTTGTCAAGGAAGGGCAATCATTTTTAGTTCCTTTTTTTCGCGTTATAAATTCTACTTTCCTCGGAGCAAGACCAGATTTCTGAAAGTTTCGAAAAGTTAAAGGAAAAAGAGTAAAAAAGCATTCATTTTTAGAGCCGAGTTCTTCAGCTCGGAACAAGCACTTTCGAATCGTTTAATAAGCAGTCTTTACCCTACTTTTCAGCAACTTTATTTAAAAATGATTAGCTAATCAACACTTAGGGAGATATTTTTTCTAATAAATGCGGAATAGCTGTACTGAAACCTTATAAGAGTTTTTCAATAATTAAATGAAAAATACAGGACAAGGAACTAACGAATTTTTTATCATGACAAAGCATTTTATAAATGTATTATTTTAAAGTAATTCCTTAATTAACTATAGATTAACTGATTGATTGATTGGTTATTTAAGTCATACTCAGACACATCACTAAGGCTATTGACAATGGAGTTCATGATTTTTAGCGGTGGTCAAGTAACAAAGGCGCTGGAACACTCCTCACCAAACATCCCCACTACGCCATCTTAAAGATCTTGAGCCTCGACAGATTTTATGTGCATAAGCGTGTGTGAGTGAATATTAACGTCGCACAATTCATCCACACGAGGGCGTTGGTGATGGACCTCGTAATTTTGAATCTTAGTTAAGTAACGACGATGACACATGAGCTGTCACCCCACTCTCCTAACTTCCATACCACACCAGCGGAAAGATGTTTGAGCCTCTACATGTTTAAGGTGTATCTGCCCCTCTGCATGGCGGGTCTTCAGCTGCACAACTGTTGTACTGTCACCTGTATGGTGCTCAAAGCTAAAAGCAAACGACAGGCGTGCACCTAGCCCTTGCCACGATGAATTTCGTGGGCCTCGATCTGACACCGTCTGACAGGTGGCATTAGAAACAACAATAACACCCGTACTCATGACACGACGGCCACGAGTCTGTTACCTTGACCACTAGGCAACCGTGGCCACGATAACACCCCTAGATGATGCATAAAATATTTGAAAAGGTATTTAAGTACAATAAAGGGGGCTTAAATCCTTATTCTAAGATGTATGAACATTTTTAAAACTAAACAAAACAAGAAGCATATTTTACTTTTATTTTTTATTAAAATTATTTTCCACAATGTAGGTATGAAATTTAAAAAAGTTCGAAAGAAAGTAATTAAAATATATTTATCCTTAGATGTTAATATCCGAAATTCTAAAGAATAAACTCACTAAACCTAAATAAGTTTTATTATTCTATTTTTACTTATGTATTATAATTACTGGTGAATTTAAAACATTTACATGCATTTGAGCTTGTTCTTATAGCCAATGAGGGGAAGCTGAAAGAACGAACATTCTCTAATAAGATTAAATACGTAAAATTTGTGATTATTTTACATGCAATACTCTCTTTTTGTATACATAAAATGCATTAAAACTTATTTAAACTAAATTTTTAAAATTCATTGCAGCAAAATTTTATTCACCCTAAATCTACACGTCTTACGTTTAAAAACACATATTTCAAAAATTTATAACAATACGTTATTGAAGAGTAGTAAGGATTTTGAGAACATGCAGAGCTTCCGATCCTAGATGTTATTTTGCGTTCTCGGAATTTTCTGCAATCCAAAACCTGGATTATTTTCTATTTCGGTGCACTTCTCAGAGAGAAGACTTACTGAGAATTTGAAAACACATATACTCGTATATTCTGAGGAATTTCTGCTACAATTTGGATCGGAAGAACTCTACCAAAGATCCTCTCTTGGAAGGATTTGTTCAGATAAAAATAGTACGATATGTAATCTAAAAATGTATACATCACACATATTTGGCATCGTACGTTTCGCCCACTATACTCCCATTTTGATATAAGATATGACTACCGAATTCTCCCAGATTTATACGATTTTCTATAATCTTATATGATTTTCAGAAGTCCCTTATATTGCATGGTTGACTAGTCCATTTTAAGGGTACCAGGATATGCTCCAGAGAGTAAAGTATCAAAATTAAGATTACTTGTGTTTCTGGGAAATATATCTTTTAGTATTTCTAAAAGATATTCGATTTTTTTTGTATGCCTAATATTTTTCTATTTAGTTATTCTATCGAGCAACAACGATATAAATTTTCGTCCTAAGTTTTTATTTTTAATTAAACAGGGATGCAATTCTTGAAATCTTAGAATACATACTTTCCATTCAGGTACCATGTCTTAAAGCATTTCTTATACATACAAAATATTTTAAACACAGTTATAGAATGATGTACAGTATATAGTGAACTAATTTATGAGCAAAATCT